TATATATATATATATATACTAATCAATTATTTTTTAACATGATTAAAACGAAATGTAACTTTTGCAATTTCCAAAAATTCGTAAACACGAACAAAAATTTAATTGTGCAGTTTGCGCTATCCGAGTACATTAAAAAAATGGTGTGATATTTTTAGAAAATCTTGTTTCAAAATTGATTTTATTAAACGCAAAACTACGCATATTAGGAAAAAATTGTAAGTGATCTTATTTAAAGATCTACTTCTGAAGAACAACGTTTATTTCGAAAAATCTCTATCTTTTTGCAATGTACGCTTCATTGCTTTGTTGTAAAAGTCGAACTTAACGCTTAATAAAAAATAAACGTATTTTTCGTCCGTTCAATCTTGTCGTGATTGGTGCAAGACTCGGACGTGTCTTGTTTGTAACAGATGAACAGCAAGTTAAAATGGACCCGCAATTATGCTGATGCTGTCTACGAGCGTCGCCGAAGCATGGGCTTGCTCGTGCCAGGCAACATCGGCGAACTGACGCAGGCGCTACTGGCGACGACGCCGCCGGACCGAATCCCTCGCCTCCACCCCCTCGCCGTCAGTGCCCTCGTTTGTTTCTAAGGGGATTGGAGTGGCATATTCTACATTACATTCAGAAATAATTATTTACGAGACAAGTGGCTCTTCTGAGATATACTAAAAGCAAAATCTGATGTAATATGAAGGGTTTTATGCAATTATATTAATTTTACTAATTATGGTCCCACTCCTCTAGAAATATCGTGGACGTCTGCTTCCAGGTTAGCTAAGATTTATTTTGCAGAATCCTCCCATTTAAAATGGTAGATGTTCTTCATAAAGCGTACATTGAGTTTTCGTAATGCTAGCTATTAAGGTTAAAAACGTGAAATTACAATAAAAATGGCATAATGATTTAATGTGAAAAGTACATTGATAGCTCTGTTATGTTTCTGGAATTGGCAATACTGATGTTGTTAGAAACATCAGTTCTACACATCACACAACCATAACCATAAACCATATAACTATAAACATTTTTTTCTGGTTATACATACCAAAAACGTTGTGTCTTACGGACGCGAATTGTGTTATTTTGTGATTCGAAAGTTTCTTATCCATCAAGGAATGGAATTGACTGAAGAACATTTCCGTGCAATGATTTTATACGACTTTCGGCGTGGATTAAATCAACAACAGTGAATCGATCAATTCATTTCAATTTTGGGTAATGAAGCGCCATCAAAAACAACTGTATATCAATGGTTTATTGAATTCAATCTTGGCTGTCACTCGCTCAAGGGCAAATTTAAAGTAGATCGTACAAAATCAGCTGTTGTGTTCGAAACCATCAATGCTTTGCACGAACTGATTATGCAAGATCGTCCTGTAATATATCGCAAGATTCAGGCATCCTTGACCATTAGTGTGAAGGAATGCTCGTGATTCTCCATGCATGTGAGAAAAATGTGTGCGTGAAATTTTAAAAAATACATCGTGGCACGTCAATAGCCGTATATAACATCTACAAAGGGGACGAAATCTTGGATCTATGCATGCGAGCCTGGAAGTAAACAGCAATCGACTGATTGGATCATTCAACATGAGCCAAACCCAACCAAAGTAGTTCATTTCAAATAGTCTACTTTTTTTGGAATAAAAGGGCATGTGACTGCAGAGGCACGAGGTATTCATAAAACAGTCAATTCTGACTAGTACACTACCATATATTTGCCAGATGTTCAAGAAATCAGAAAAAACGACGACACAGGGTCATCCTGCATCATGACAGTGTAAGCTCACCGACAGCGGCCCAAAAAATTCAGAATTTATAAACAAAACATCGAATTGGCTAACAAAGATTCCTTTTTGTTCCCGTCCGTGAAGAATATAGTACGAGGTCAACGTTGCATTTCGACGCCAAAAGAAGCGTCGATGCGTTCGAAGGGCATGTTTTGGGGATACCTTTATCAGAATGGAAAAAGTGCTACGAAAACGGGTTCAAACGTATGCAAAAATGCATTGATCATCGCGGAGAATGTTTTGAAAAACAATAAAACTATTTTGAATGATATATCATAGTTTTTATTTGTTATTCCGGATACATATCGAACATCCCTCATGATTCAGTATAAACGTTATTTTGTTGAATTGATATGAAAATTGCATTTTTGAAATGTTTTCGTGAATTTATGAGACGATGCTCAAATGTTCAGATAAAACTGTGAATACAACGAAGAAAACAAGATACTTTGGTCGCATCAGCGACTATTAATCTTAATGTAAGGTAGTGATTTCTATGCTTGAATTAAAATAAAATGAATATTAGTTGGCTAAAAGATAGTGGTAAAGGGTGGCTATGAAATAAAGGATGGTTAAAAGATGTGGATGTCACGCATGGTAAAAGTTAGTTTTTGCTCGTAAAATTGCACCACTTGGCGTATCAGCCATGTGTCCCAACATCTTTACTTGCAAATACCACTTTGCCAATCGTATCACAAATAACTATTTTGTAATACTGTACTTTAAAAACATAACGCGACCAAACAGGAACAAAAACGGCCGGCATCCGATAAGAATTTTACAGTCCACCGGCAGTCAAAAACAATCCAAACAAATGAATTGTGTCTAAAGATATTGGATAAGCACTCCTACGTCTACAAAAGTTCTTATTTTTATACTAATTTTTGTTAGATGGTTTACGAACGTGGTATTGTGAAAATAATAGATCGATTTATGGCCGATATTAAGCATTTGGTTGATCTATATCGGCCTAGTGACATTATTAACAATTTCTTTTTACAATTTGGTTACCGCATACCGGCAGCGTCTGGCTCCTGTACGGTAGGCAATTGTTGTGTCTTCCAAGGAAGAAAATTGTTTTTCTCTAGGAAAGATGCAAGGAAAGGATTGAGCTTACCTCTGATGATTCTTTTATTGAATCTGCAGCCACGTCATCTTGCAGTTCTACTTATATCTGAATCCCTCGGCTCCGGAGTCAGAACTAGTTGTTGGCTCCAAAGATAGTATACGCTAATATTTTGCAATTCAAACTGAATTCATTATAATGTGTTCTTCCAGCTCGCTCACTATGTGAGCACTTTTTTTAATCTCGGAAATTCATCTTTGGATAATAACATTAAAAACCGACCATTGTAGAATCATGACCATTGATGAATAATAAAATAAAATTGGTTCATGGGATTGGACATTGTGTTTGGAGAAACAATTAGTTGCGCCAACGTTTCGAAGTATTTAATTTCTTCATCAGGCTAGAGTATAAACAATGAACAGTGCATGAGGAAACAAACATTACAATAAATTGATTCATTAATTAATGAACATTACATACACCAAAACACAAAAAATAAAATATTATAAACTAAGATAAATAAAACACCAATATATAGAAAGTACACACCTTATGATTATTAGTAAGGTGTGTACTCTCTAATATTGTACACCATGAAGTTTGAAGTACAATACTTCGTCATGTAACGCTATTGCTTTAATCGCTGTTTGAAGCGTCATTTTTCAGGAGACGCACTACCACATAGGGGGCGTGTGCCCCGAGCCGCCGCCACCGCCGTTTCACCGAGGGCCCATGCTGCCTGTGGACCCGGCCGAGCTGTGCATCCTGTACAAGGGCACATGCGGAGACCTGGAAGCCGGAGGCCGCTGCGCCTACCTGCGCAAGCGGTGGGCGTCGCCGGTGGCGTCCCGCTGGCCCCGCCCGCCCTCGGTCAACGCATCGTACGCGTGGCCCTGGCACCTCAGCCCGTCCGTAAACGACAAGCACTTCCGGAAGGCGTTGGAGACGCGCCGGATCTTCTTCCGCCTCTCCGACGACCATCCAAACATCGGGCCTGAGCGCCAAGCGACCTGTCTCAGATGCTCTAAGCTTCCAGACGTCCTCTAGCGAACGTTTGGATTGGCCTGCCAGCTTTCATCTGTGCTGGAGTGGTAATGCTTTTGAATTCCCGCCGCTGCCAACGAAATTTACATTCTTTGTTCTTTCACAAGCACAGTTTTTGCATCGATCATAAGTCTGTTTTTTTACTTGTTATTAAATTACATCAAATACATAATAAATTACATCAACGCTTTCATTTCATTTTAACACTTGCTTTCCTCTTTAAAAAAAATTAAATATTTCACGGAAAAGCAATTCTTGGATAATGCAAGAGATTAGGACATCTTGTAAAAACAAACGAATTCTTTCTTTCATTTCTAAGCATCATAACATATCTCAAGGTTTCCACATCAACTTTAAAAATTAGAAATCATTGTTAAGAAAAGTCATACGGCAGGCTAAAATCATGAAACATGACCAGGAAATTTTGAACTCAAATAATAAAACAAAAGTAATGTGAACTGTAGTAAAATATTCGACCAAATCAACTAGAAACCTTGTAGAGAATGTTGTTTTAAAAGATGACGATAGAAATGTGAAAGATCCGGTAACAGTGGCTAGTCTCTTTATCCAATACTTTTCGAGAACTGCTGCTGATCTCACTAAGGGTCTTTAGCCACAAAACTCAGCATCCATTCAGTTTCCACAAATACTTCAGGCGATGTTTGTTTCCTTAACTTCTTCTTATGAAATTCCAAAATAATCGGTAGGCTAAAAAATAAATATTCGGCCGGTTTAGATGAATTTCCGGATTGGTTGTTAAAGGTTTCGCACCCGCAATTATACACTCACCCAATAATGTATCCTTATGCACAGGATTTTTTTCAGATTTTTTAAAACTGCTAAGATTAAGCCGCTTTTCAAAAATGGCAACAAAAATGAAATTAAAAATTATTGCCCAATTTCTCTTTTGTCATTTTTTTCCCAAAAATTAATAGAGAGGCTTTTTTACATACGAATGGAAACATTTCTTAGTAAACACAATTTGTTTTCAAATTGCCAATATGGGTTTCAAAAATCAAAATTTACGGAAACAGCCATATTTTCTTTTCTTAAAGATGTCGCCTTATCCATGGATCTAAACGAAATGTCTATTGGGATATTTTTTGATCTTTCAAAAGCTTTTGATGTCATTGATCATAACATTTTACTCTCAAAATTACATTCGTATGGTATTCGTTGTGTTGCTCGGTTGGTTATGTTCGTACCTTAAACAACGATCTCAGAGTGTAGAAATGCCTTACTGGAATAATGGAACATTATATACACATCTTTCTGATTCTTTGCCAAATGCATGTGCGGTCCCGCAGGGATCGATTTTAGGCCCTCGGGCCCAGAGGTGGATTTATGCATAGGCACAGTAGACACGTTAGTTCTAGAAGACGGATCTGGAAATAACCCCTTTTCTTTCTTTTGTTACTATTGTTGTGTATTGTTTATTGGAAAAGCCTGCTGAGTAAAAATGATATTTTGAAGTTTAAAAATGAGTGATTATAGAAAAAGACTCAGAGGAACTCAATATGCAAAAATTCGAAAAGAAAATGGAGAGAAATGTCAAAATGAAATTGATAAGACAAAAAAAAATGAATTCTTCAAACCTATATGTGAAACTGATCACTGCTGCAGTTCAATCGACAATTCTATTACTGAGTTAGTATAAACATATAGATTAGATAACATATTTATTTTTCAGCTTGTATTTTTTTCCGTGTACTAATAGCTTGTGATAAATAAATGTTAACATTAATATATTTTGTTGCCAAAATATTCTCAAAATGCAAAAAATGTTTAGTACAATAATTAGAAATTAAATATTATTGACGTGTTGTATTCGTTAAAATGAACTATATCTTAATGTAGAATTTAAATAAATTAGCATAAAATATTGTATGTTACTATATTATGTTACTAAACTTTATTTTATATAATATGTAATAATACATATAATATTTTGACTCTTTTATTTATTCAGGCGTTTAGTACTAAATCTAATAATGAGAATGCAAAGTTTTGAAACAAGCTAAAAAATGAAATGGTTTCTCAAGAATTGGAAAATATACTGCGATTGATTATGAGTCGACGATTCAACCGATGTAATAGTTTAAGCATTTTTTGTATAATTAATATATATGTAATACTTTCCTCGAAGATTTGTTGTAAATATTAAAATACATTATTATAATAATTATTATTATTATTGTTTAATTAAATAGGATATGTATATACTTTCTCGAATTATTGTTATAATAGATAAAATACCCATTATTATAATAATTGTATTATTTATTTTTAATTAAATAGGATATCTACCGAATGTATACAAACTGCAGAACATAAAATTTGATGAAACCATAACTTCGATAATCGGTTTTGTTGACAAAGCGATCCAGCTTTGTGGTCTAATTAAGAGCTACACGTGATTATGTTGCCAAGCATGGGTTCGAACAAAACAAAAACGCTGACTGTTCTCAATCAAGAAAAGAGTACAATGATGGCAAAGTTCGTAACTTAACGACGAATATGTTTGAGTATACGCATATCAGTAAAGAAAAAATACCTCGCAAGTGGCGTGTTTACTCTGAGAGCAATGGAACTGTTTTCTGCGGTGTTTGTTTATTCTTTCCAAGCAATTCAGAAGTAAGAACAAAATTATCATTGGAGGGATTCAATGATTGGTAAAATGAGCATACTAAATTAAAAGAACATGAGAATTCTACGTCATAGAAACTGTACGTCCGCATTGAAAAATAGACAGTGAAAACCAAGTAAATAAGCAGCTGCTTGAACAAGTTGAAACCGAGCCAACTTATTGGAGGAATGTTCTTGAGCGTGTCATTATAAAAACTCTTGTTTCAAGAGGGCTTTCATTGAGAGGACATGTCGAAAAATTTGGAAATAATCAAAATGGTTATTACATGATGTTGCTTGAGTTAATTTCGAAATATAACCACTTCTTAGCAGATCACATACAAAAATTTGGTAACTGCGGAAAGGGAAGTACATCGTATTTATCCACCACGACGGTTGAAGAACTAATATGTATATTAGCTAAAGCAGTTAAAGATTAGATTCTCCAAAACTTTCGAAGTGCCAAGTATTTTTCCATAATTGTGGACTCTACACCAGACATAGCACACGCGGATCAACTCGCTATAGTTATTAGACATGTGGGAAAAGATGGTACACCAAAAAAAGTCATTTTTGGAATTCCTTTCAAACACAGACAATAAATAAAAAGATGGTCGACGCTGATTTATGGAGATTAACGAACTGGATATTAATAATTGTCGTGGTCACGACACCACGATACTACGACAACGCGTCCAATATGTCCGGTCTTTACACAGGTCTTCAAGCCCGTATGAAAGACGTAAATGCTCTAATTGAATTCATCCCCTCTTCTGCTCATTCTTTAAATTTAGTTGATACAAATGCAGCTGTATCATGCACTGAAGCCTGTACTTATTTTCTACTTCTTCAAAATGTATATAATTTCTTTAGTGCATCTACATCAAGGTGGGACATATTTCAAAATTTAGTAAATGAAGGATCCAGTACATCCTCTTTGAAAAGTCTTTCAATTACGCGCTGGTCAGCTCGAGATCAGGCTCTAAAACATCGTTAGCAAAACGTTTTAGATGCCCTTCAAATTATATCTCATGATTCTACGCAAAAACCGTCAACGCGTGCAGAAGCTAAAGGTCTTATTGTTGTTTTAAACCAACATGAAACTGCTATTATGACCGAGGTTTGGGGATTCATTTTAGACCGCTTGAATGCGTCGAACAAACAACTGCAAAAATTCGATATCGATTTAAGTTACGTGGTTGGTATTTACACTTCGCTTGAAGAACTTTTAAAAACAAACAGAGGCAATTTTGAATTTTTTGAAGAGAAAACGAATCCTGCAGCTTTATTAAATTGGTTTACGGAAAGAGGAATTAGAATGTTTTTATCCTAACGTTGACATTGCACTTCGAATCTTTTTATGTATTCCGATGGCCAATTGCATAGCAGAACTTTCATTCTCTTCTTTAACAGGATTAAAAACTATTTGCTTTCTACAATGACAGAGTATCGACTGAACTCCTTAGCGTAATTGTGTATCGAAGAAAATTATCTCAGCGTTTAATTATACTATAATTATTGATGAATTTGCTCACCAAAAGGCACGTCGCAAAATTTTACATCAATAGACAAATAAGCTATAATTAATAAAACAACGTTTCAACTGTATAAAAAAACCCATCCAAAAAGTTAAATGCTATATTCCTTGTTGATAATGGTTAATCAAAAATTATAAAAACTGTTACGTCGTGATATTCTAATCGTTCAGTTGTAAATAAAAATTTATCATATTAATATTTAATACAAGCTATTTATTTGTCTACTTCATTATAGTATACCTTATGATTTCAGAAGTATATGAATCTGAAAGTAAGGCCCTTTGACGAAAGAAAACATGTAATTATAGTTGTCATGTTTTAGTTTCATTTTAATGTTAACATTTCAGTGTTAAAACGTTAATAATGTTGAACGTTACTTGCTATGAAGATACAGTTTATACCCAAAAATAGCTAATCTAAAAAAAATATTTAATTTATGAAAACAATGTGCAAAATGTAATGTTACTTTTAAAGTTAAAACGTTCAAATTAATGAGGAATTGTTACTGAAACGTTACAATTTGAAATGTAATATAAATTTTAAACAGGGGGCGGCAAATTTGATGTGCCTACAGGCGGCAAAAATATTAAAATATTAAGCCGCCCCTGGCCCTCGACGATTATAAACGGAAGAACAGTTCTCTTTGCGCATGATGCCAATATTCTTTGCCATAAAGAAACCGTAAATAGTACAATATCAGATATTTCAAATTAGTTCCGTAATAACAAATTAATAATAAATGAAAAGAAAACTGTTTCAATGTAGTTTTCCATTCAAATACAGCTCGGC